AAGATCAAAAGAGACTACGAGGCTCTGGGCAAGAAATTGAAGCAATTAAATGCACAAATTGTCATCTCATCTGTCCTCCCAGTTGAACGACGTGGCCCAGGGAGAGAGGGAACAATAGTGGAAGTGAACAGCTGGCTTCGCAAATGGTGTAAACAGGAACGGTTTGGATTCTTAGATCACGGACTGCAGTTTCTTGAAGATGGACTTCTGGCAAGCGATGGGCTGCACCTCACAACGGTTGGGAGGAATGTTTTTGCCAAAAATCTCAGAAACCTCATCAAGAGGGCTTTAAACTGACTAATGTGGGGGAGGGAGACAGTGCTTCTGAAGGTAGGAGTCTATCAATTGATGAAGATGATCATCCAAATGTCATAGACCAAATGGAGCAAACAGCACGCAGACCTAGTGGTGGGAGGACAAAATCCTTAAATAAGAGACACGGGGAATGATTAATGGACTTCAATGTCTGTACACTAATGCGCAAAGCATGGGAAATAAACAAGATGAGCTTGAGCTCTTGGTACAGCAAACTAAATATGACATAATAGGCATCACTGAAACCTGGTGGGATAAGTCCCACGATTGGAATGTAATAATGGGGGATACAATCTATTTCAGAGAAACAGACCAGACAAGAAAGGAGGAGGAGTGGCGTTATATGTCAGGGATGTGTATACCTGTGAAGAGATCCAAGATTTAGAACCTCAAAGCCAAAGTGAGAGCATTTGGGTCAAAATTAAGGGAGAGAAGAATAACAGTGACCTCATTGTGGGAGTTTACTATAGATCCCCAAGCCAAACGGAGGACATAGATGATGCCTTCCTGGAACAGATGGCCAAGCATGCAAAAGGAAGGGAGATAGTAGTAATGGGGGACTTCAATTACCCGGATATTTGTTGGATGTCAAACTCAGCCAAGAGCATAAGGTCAAACAGATTCCTGACTGGCCTTGCAGACAACTTCATTGTCCAGAAAGTGGGAGAAACAACAAGAGGAACAGCCATTTTAGATCTGGTCCTAACCAAAGTTGATGACCTCGTTAGTGGGGTAGAAGTGGAAGGATCATTAGGCGCGAGTGATCATGCTCTTCTGAAGTTTACTATACAGCGGAAAGGAGCAGCCAAGCATACTAGGACTCAATTCCTTGACTTTAAGAAAGCCGACTTCATAAAACTTAGGGAAGTGCTGGGTGAGATCCCATGGACAGTAATACTAAAAGGAAAGGGAGTTCATGATGGCTGGGAGTTTGTTAAGAGGGAGATAGTAAAAGCACAACGTCAGGCAATACCAATGAGACGGAAACATGGAAGGTGCCTAAAGAAGCCAGGGTGGCTATCTAAAGAACTTTTAACTGAGTTAAGATTAAAAAGGATGTGTACAAAAATGGAAAAGGGGGAAACCACCAAAGAGGAATTCAAACAAATAGCCAGCACGTGTAGACACAAAGTCAGAAAAGCTAAAGCGCAGAATGAACTCAGGCTTGCTAGAGAGGTTAAAAGCAACAAAAAAGGCTTTTATGGGTATGTTCGTAGCAAAAGGAAGAACAAAGAAACAGTGGGGTCACTCAGAACAGAAGATGGTGAAATGCTAACAGGGGACACAGAAAGGGCTGAACTCCTCAATGCCTTCTTTGCCTCAGTCTTCTCCAATAAAGAAAACAATGCCCGACCTGAAGAATTTGGAGCAAATGATTCAGCAGAGGAAACACAGCCCAGAATAACTAAGGAGATAGTACAAGAATACTTGGCTAGTTTAGATGTATTCAAGTCTCCAGGGCCAGATGAACTGCATCCAAGAGTATTAAAAGAACTGGCAGATGTGATCTCAGAACCACTGGCAGTCATCTTTGAGAATTCCTGGAGAACAGGCGAAGTCCCGGCAGACTGGAGGAGGGCAAATGTTGTCCCCATTTTCAAAAAGGGGAAAAGAGAGGACCCAAATAATTACCGCCCAGTCAGTCTGACATCAATAGCAGGGAAGATTCTGGAGCAGATCATTAAGCAAACAGTCTGTGAGCACCTAGAAAGGAATGCTGTGATCACCAATAGTCAGCATGGATTTCTGAAAAATAAGTCATGTCAGACTAACCTGATCTCGGTTTTTGACAAAATTACAAGCCTGGTAGATGAAGGGAACGCAGTGGATGTAGCCTACCTTGATTTCAGCAAGGCATTTGACAAGGTGCCCCATGATATTCTTGTAAAGAAGCTGGTAAAATGCGGTCTTGACTATGCTACCACTCAGTGGATTTGTAACTGGCTGACTGACTGAACCCAAAGGGTGCTCATCAATGGTTCCTCTTCATCCTGGAGAAGAGTGACTAGTGGGGTGCCACAGGGTTCTGTCTTGGGCCCGGTCTTATTCAACATCTTTATCAACGACTTGGATGATGGACTCAAGGGCATCCTGATCAAATTTGCAGATGACACCAAACTGGGAGGCGTGGCTAACACCCCAGAGGACAGGATCACACTTCAAAACGACCTTGACAGATTAGAGAACTGGGCCAAAACAAACAAGATGAATTTTAACAGGGAGAAATGTAAAGTATTGCACTTGGGCAAAAAAATGAGAGGTACAAATACAAGATGGGTGACACCTGGCTTGAGAGCAGTACATGTGAAAAGGATCTAGGAGTCTTGGTTGACCACAAACTTGACATGAGCCAACAGTGTGACGTGGCAGCTAAAAAGCCAATGCAATTCTGGGCTGCATCAATAGGAGTATAGCATCTAGATCAAGGGAAGTAATAGTGCCACTGTATTCTGCTCTGGTCAGACCTCACCTGGAGTACTGTGTCCAGTTCTGGGCACCACAGTTCAAGAAGGACACTGACAAACTGGAACGTGTCCAGAGGAGGGCAACCAAAATGGTCAAAGGCCTGGAAACGATGCCTTATGAGGAACGGCTAAGGGAGCTGGGCATGTTTAGCCTGGAGAAGAGGAGGTTAAGGGGTGATATGATAGCCATGTTCAAATATAGAAAAGGATGTCACATAGAGGAGGGAGAAAGGTTGTTTTCTGCTGCTCCAGAGAAGCGGACACAGATCAATCGATCCAAACTACAAGAAAGAAGATTCCACCTAAACATTAGGAAGAACTTCCTGACAGTAAGAGCTGTTCGACAGTGGAATTTGCTGCTAAGGAGTGTGGTGGAGTCTCCTTCTTTGGAGGTCTTTAAGCAGAGGCTTGACAACCATATGTCAGGAGTGCTCTGATGGTGTTTCCTGCTTGGCAGGGGGTTGGACTCGATGGCCCTTGTGGTCTCTTCCAACTCTATAATTCTATGATTCTATGACTCTATGACTGGGGAAAGCAGCAAGAGAGATGGCACCACTTCAATATCCCAGGAAGGAATTCCTAAGTGTTAAATATTTATGAAACACTGTGAAACAGTCCACATCCCTCATGGGTTTGTGGATATTTTCTCATATTTTAGTTTCTTGTTTTTTCACAGTACTCCCCATTACCCGAAAAAAAAGCTTTCTATATTTCAGAAAATATGAAGATCTAACTGAAGTTAAGTGAATGAAAAGCATGTGAAATCACCTTGTTTCCAGTTATCTTGTTTCCATATGAAATATAAATGACTGAAGAGGATATTGCTTAAGCCATAAAACAAATTGACACAGTAATTTATTAATACCAAAGGCATCCTTCATTGTAGTTAAGCAGCATCAAGAGCTGGAAATAGCATAGTTTCTCACAAAGTATTGCCAATATGTCAAAGGAAAGACTTCTTGCAATTTCAGCATGTATGAAGATCCCCTTTGCAGATGCCAACACGTGAAGACCATGACTTTGGCCTCTCACGTAGGCTGCATAATTATTGTAAAAGCTCAAACAATTGTATTTATTCAGAATATTAAAAAACCCATTCTTCATGGTACACTGCCATGTGGATCTACCTGTGGCAGCATTCCTGCATTGGAAGTGCAACAGCAGGGATCATTCCATGTGCAACTAAAGGGTTAACTATGTCAGTGTTGAAGTCAAATGGAGGGGGTGGATTGTGTTGCTTGGCAACCAGGCAGAGTGGAATGATGTTTGCAGAAGTAGCACCTGTCCTGATTGCTTTTGTAGGTCTTCAGAAGTTTTCTCTCTCTCTGTTTAGTTAAATGTCTCCCTGCTATGTACAAGGCCTGAAGTAAGGACAAAGCCCCTCTGTTCCTTTTCTCCTCAGATTATACATTTTCTGTTCAGTTTCCTCAGTAAAGTTTTCTTGGGATTTCTTTCCCCTCTCAACTCCGTATGCATTACGTGGTGTCACTAACATACTGAGTATTCAGTGCTATGCAGTTTGTCAGGTCCCTTCCACAGCAGACATAACTGCAGTTACATTGCAACTACTCCTTTTGTGCTCTGAGCTTGACTTGTAGCACATTTGCCAAAGAGGCCACCCTACTGTTCTAATACAGTTTATTATGTCCACCTTCTTTGTCCAGTGATGGGCAAGGTCAAGTAAATAAATAAATATTTGAAATGAATAAATGTTCCTGAATAGTTCAACATGCAGGGTGTTAATGAGTCCTTTGCAACAGCTGTTGTTTCTTTAATGGGGGAGGGGACACAGGCCGGCCTGTTGATGCCAGTGACATTGTGCAGATGTTTCAAAAATGTGCATGTGGAGCATCTATTCCCACAACAAACACCCACAGAGCTTGGATAAGAAAGAGCTTTCCTGGACATACAGGTCAAAGCGCTCCCTCATTTAAATGTTTGCATTAGGCTGATATTGAAGTCATGGGTTGGGGGCAGGCAATGGGACAACCCAAACATCTGTGCCGTAATTATTTTAGAAATATTGCTACTAAATTACAATGAAACTTTAAAAAGGCATTACAGCTTCCTCTTTCTCAAATTTTAGTATTTCATAAAACACATTTTATTTTTTTATTATTATTAATTATATTTGTATACTGCCCTTAATCCAAAGATCTCAGGGCTGATCACAGCATAAAAGAACAAACTAAAAATATAAAATACATGCAGTCCTTTGACCCTTGCTCTTTCCAAATCTCACCCTCCTTTTCCCGTTCATACTCTACAACGTGTGCGGTAATTGTCATCCCAGAACAATTCCTAGCAGAGCGACGCCCCCCGGGAAGTCGCCTCCATTCTCACGTGCAAAGCTCCCTCGGGCACGTCGGAGCCGGCGGTCGGTCGGCTGGCGCAGGCGGTTGGCAGTCCGCTACCCCCTCGGATCCCCCCTCTTCTCCGGGCTATATGTGGCGCCTGGAAGCTCCCAATGTTTTCCATATTTGTGCAGCCTCCGCGAGTCAAATGCCAGAGGCGAGTCGGCCGGCAGCCCCGAAGGAGAGGCGCGCCCTGCTTCTTCGGAGTCCTCCCGGCAGCTGAGCAGCATGGGCAAAGAAGAGACGGCGGCCCCTCGGCAGGCCGGGCCGGAGGGAGGCGGCGAGCGCGGAGGAGCGGCCCGGCAGGCGAAGGAGAGCCGCGGGGATCCGCGCCCGTGCTGCGGCTGCCGCTTCCCGCTGCTGGCGGCCCTGGGGCAGCTGGCTCTGGGCGCCGCGGTGGCGGTGCTGGGCTTCCTCATGGCCGGCGTCAGCTCGTCCCTGCTGGTCAGAGACACGCCGTACTGGGCGGGCCTCCTCGTAAGCATCGCCGTCGGTTTCTCCCTGCGGAGCGCCTCGGCCCGCGCGCGCGCACGAAACGCGCCCTAACGCCCCGACTAACCAGCTGCCCGCGCGGCCCTCGAGACGCGGCTTGGGCTGGAGCTCAGCTAACCTTTAACAACAACAGCAGCAGCAGCAGCAGCTGCCCTGCAGTGGTTGTTTGTATCCATTTTACATGCAAAAAAGGACGTGGAAATAACGTGTTACTTTAGAGCAAACATCACAGGAAGCTGGGAAGACGGGGAAGTAACACCCTTAGATTTGCTGCGTGCATCGTTTAGCAGACTTCTAGATTTGGATTGCAGTGCAAGGATTGCTCCATGGCTGAAAGGTGGGGGTTATATGTGGTTCTGGCACATGCACGCCTGTACATGCACGCCAAGGGAAAGGGAATGAGAGGCAAGGGACGAGAATTAACGTTTTGATCCGAAATGACAGAGGAGAAGGGAATGAATGCTCCTGTTGCTTCCACGCTGCGATGAGTTGTTGGTCTTTTCTAAAGAACTGTCTGATCTGTTTGGCGCTTCGCCCAAGCCTCCTTTGCCACAGCCGAGGGCACTTTGGCTCTTGCCGAGCCGAAGGGTTAAATTTGAAATGCAAATAAGCGAGTTTAGGGGGAGGGGAAGGACGGGGATATGCGCCAATCCCGGAAATTCGGACTCGCCCAGCGACACGCTGCCTTGCCATACCTTGTAGCAGACAGTAGCAGACTGACAAGGCTATTTGTGATCATGTAAAACACGTGGTCCGCGGGGACAGACAGCGCGAACCCAGCCAAGGCGTGCGCGCTCATTCCAGTCATGGGTTGTGTTTCAGAGCTGATTTGTTGTTAATGAAATAGGGGGGAATTAGGCCATGTGAAGCCTTGTCTCTTGAGCTACTTTGCTGTATGATGCATTTTTTAATGTTTTGTTCAGTGCTCGTTCCAAGTGAGTTCCTGCCAGATTCTGGAGGCTGATGATTCTGAATTTTACAAATAGATCATCAGGGCCCACCACACTCACATTGTTTTAAAATTCAATGGATTCTCCATGTGCCATATACTACTGAGTTTACTATTTATATTAGCTGAAGGCCCACCAAGTTTGCCATGGTGGGGCAACAGCGGGTGGGGTGGAGTGCCCGTCTTTCCTCCAGCTTGCCCCCTGCTTGTGCCATCCACACCCTTGCATCCATTTTGGAGGGTGTTGCCTCACTTAGGCCCTCAGGAATCCTGAATGAAAAGATAAAGGGCATAAACTTGGGCAAAATTAGAGTGAGCCCTGAATGTGGCCCTGTTCGTCCCAGCACTCCTTTTCAAGTGCCAGAAATTCAGTGGGAGAAGCTGATAACCCAGCCGTATCCTGTTTGCATAACAGTACAATATTGCCCATTTTTCCTGATTCTTGGCTATGTTGGAGAATGGCATGTTGTACAGTGGTACCTCTGGTTACGTACTTAATTCGTTCCAGAGGTTCGTTCTTAATCTGAGGTACCACTTTAGCTAATGGGGCCTCCCGCTGCAGTCGCGCGAGTCTCTTATCATCCTGAAGCAAAGTTCTTAACCCAAGGTACTATTTCTGGGTTAGCGGAGTCTGTAACCTGAAGCATATGTAACCCCAGGTACCACTGTATATGTTTTTAATCTGATCCTTCCTCCAAGGAGCAAAAGGTGGCACAATGCAGCCTCTCTCACAGCGATATGCAGTTAAGTTTTTTTCAGATTACACCCATGAACATGGTTAAGGCCATTGATTTCAATAGATCTACCCTTGAGTAAAACTTAGTTGCACACATCTCTTTCCCTTCCTTCCTTCCTATACCACATTTTAGTCTGCAGCCATGCAAAGTAGATTGGGTTGCCCTTCCTCATTTTAATTATCTTTGCAATAGTTCTGTGAAACAGATTCAACTGAGGAATTGTGATTGCCCAAGATCACAGGGCAAATCTGACTGAGTGCATATTTCAGCCTTGTCCATGTTCAGCCCTCCATCCACCATGTGAGACTATGTGAATGTAAGGACACTGAATCAGTGCCATCTCTATGACTAGGATGTGACTCAGTTGCAGAATATGTACTTTGCTTCTGAAAGTCCCAGGTTCATTTCCTCACATCTCCTGGTCCTGGTGGGGTGGGGTGGGGGAATAACCTTATCCAAAACCCTAGTCAGCTTCTGGCAGTCAGTGTAAAGTGCAGAGCTAGATGCAACCATGGTCTGACTTAGTGTAAAGTGTAGGAAGAGCTCTGTTGCCTTCATGATCTACTTTGAAAACAGGATGCTCTCCTTCCTTTGAGGTTTTTAAGCAGAGGACATGTATGATTTAGCTGACATTCCTGTGTTGCAAGGGGTTGGACTAGATGACCCTCTGAGTCCCTTCCAACTCTACAATTTTGTGATTCTATGATGCGACAGTGATCTGTTCTAACAGGGCTCTTGTGCTCTTATATTGTTTCCTATAAATGATGCTGAAAATGCCTCAATTTGTGCCAATTGTGAATGCTGCTGATGCAATATAGACATTTAAAATCAATTCCACTTCCTAGCCAATTTAGGTTTTACAGTCTCTGAACAGAGTATTAAAGTACAATAAGTTCTTTAGTTAAAATATCCAAATGTTTTCTATTTTCAATCAAGAACTCTTGATCTAGCAGTAGTAGGGTGTGAATTAGATTATCACCCAAATTCAAGGCTGTGTGTATACACTTGCATGTATGTCACTCGATTACTTGAGATGTGATGATTCACAGCTGAGTGTGTGAATTGTCTAATTGTCTGGGGGGGGGATATATGGGTTGATTTGGTTGTCACATTTATATCTTAATTATAGGAGCTCAAGGTGGTTTGCTGCATGGCTCTCCTGCTTTCATTGTTCAAAGCATGTGAGGTAGAGTATAATGAGAAATAATGACTGGCTCAAAGAGTTGGATTGTTGTTGTTTAGCCGTTTAGTAGTGTCCAACCCTTTGTGATCCCATGGACCAGAGCACGCCAGGCACTCCTGTCTTCCACTGTCTCCTGCAGTTTGGTCAAACTCATGTTGGTAGTTTAGAGAACACTATTCAACCATCTCGTCCTCTGTCATCCCCTTCTCCTTGTGCCCTCCATCTTTCCCAACTCCAGGGAGTCTTCTCTTCTCATGAGGTGGCCAAAATATTGGAGCCTCAGCTTCAAGATCTGTCGTTCCAGTGAGCACTCAGGGCTGATTTCCTTAAGAATGGATAGGTTTGATCTTCTTGCAGTCCATGGGAGTCTCAAGAGTCTCCTCCAGCACCAGAATTCAAAAGCCTCAATTCTTCGGCAAGCAGCTTTCTTTATGGTCCAGCTCTCACTTCCATATATCACTACTGGGAAAACCATAGCTTTAACTATATGGACCTTTGTTGGCAAGGTGATGTCCCTGCTTCTTAAGATGCTGTCTCGGTTTGTCATTGCTTTTCTCCCAAGAAGCAGGCGTCTTTTAATTTCGTGACTGCTGTCACCATCTGCAGTGATCATGGAACCCAAGAAAGTAAAATCTCTCACTGCCTCCATTTCTTCCCCTTCTATTTGGCAGGAGGTGATGGGACCAGTGGCCATGATCTTCCTTTTTTTGATGTTGAGCTTCAGACCATATTCTGCGCTCTCCTCTTTCACCCTCATTAAAAGGTTCTTTAATTCCTCCTCACTTTCTGCCATCAAGGTTGTGTCATCTTCATATCTGAGGTGGTTAATACTTCTTCCGGCAATCTTAATTCCGGCTTGAGATTCATACAGCCCAGCCTTTCTCATGATGAATTCTGCATATAAGTAAAATAAGCAGGGAGACAATATACAGCCTTGTCATACTCCTTTCAAATTTTGAACCAATCAGTTATTCCATATCCAGTTCTAACTGTAGCTTCTTGTCCCTCATAGTGATTTCTCAGGAGACAGATGAGGTGATCAGGCACTCCCATTTCTTTAAGAACTTGCCATAATTTCCTGCGGTCGACATAGTCAAAGGCTTTTGCATAGTCAATGAAGCAGAAGTAGATGTCTTTCTGGAACTCTCTAGCTTTCTCCATAATCCAGCGCATGTTTGCAATTTGGTCTCTGGTTCCTCTGCCCCTTCGAAATCCCGCTTGCACTTCTGGGAGTTCTCAGTCCACATACTGCTTGAGCCTTCCTTGTAGAATTTTAAGCATAAGCTTGCTAGTGTGTGAAATGAGTGCAATTGTGCGGTAGTTGGAGTATTCTTTGGCACTGCCCTTCTTGGGATTGGGATGTAGATCTCCAATCCTCTGGCCACTGCTGAGTTTTCCAAACTTGCTGGCATATTAAGTGTAGCACCTTGATAGTATCATCTTTTAAAATTTTAAATAGTTCAGCTGGAATATCATCACTTCCACTGGCCTTGTTATTAGCAGTGCTTTCTAAGGCCCATTTGACTTCACTCTCAAGGATGTCTGCCTCAAGGTCAGCAACCACACTACCTGGGGTGTACGAGTCATCCATATCTTTCTGGTATAATTCCTCCGTGTATTCTTGCCACCTCTTCTTGATGTCTTCTGCTTCTGTTAGGTCCTTACCACTTTTGTCCTTTATTATGGTAATCTTTGTATGAAATGTTCATTGTTCTAAGCCTGTGAGGTAGAGTATAATGAGAAATAGAAATGAGAAAGGGCTGGATTATAATGGTGCAAATGCATGCAAGGGGCTGTCCAGGTGCTGAGCTTTCATTTAAAGAGAGAGAATGAGAATCTAGCTCTCCTAGAAGAAAAGTTATGAAACAAAATGGACAGGCAAACCTCTAAGCCAGTTTTTTCCTCAAAATGTAGACCAGGACTGGGTCTTGGGCAACTTTCAGTTGAGACTCGGTGCCCAAGCCATGCTCCCCTAGCTGTGCCTTTTGGCTGGATAAGACTAAAGTTTTGGAAATGTACTGCCATTTAGCAATTTAATTTAATTGGGAATATACCCAAGACCACATCTTCAAACCTTTCTGACACTCTTGACCTCTCTCTCTCTCTCTGTTCTCCTCCATGCCTCTTGTCACCTCTAGCTGTCTGTGTTTTCTAATGCCTGTCCTTGGTAAAGCCTGGTCCTGTTTTTGTCTTGGGGAAATTTGGGTGCATACTACTACTACTACTACTACTACTACTACAACTACATTATGGTGCATATGTGTACTAAAATTAGTTTTAGCCCCATCCCCCAAGCAACTAGAAGTTAAATGTGTATATGTTGTGATAGTGACTTACTAGATTCCAGACATATCTGTGATTTCAGCATAAAGGAACAAAATTTTGAAAATACTTTGTATCTGAAAGCACCCTGTTTAATTTTGCTAACTGACTTTTAAACCAAAAAGACCAAACAAGCAGCATTACAAAGGGGAAAATTAAGATATCATATGTCTGACTCTGAAAACAATATGTATTCTAGAGCAGATTGTGCTCCTCTCTGGCGTCTGCTTATTAAGGCAGAAATGAGCAATGGTTCCTTTCTTGGCAGTGAAGCAGAGCACAGAGGCAGCATGGTTAAAATATCAACATGCTTGTTTTAGCAACATCCCACTCAAGTACGCTCTGCCCCCTCCCCTCGCTGCAGCACCCCCACCCCACACACCAGTATTTGATTAGCATTCCACTTGGCCAACCATAGAAGAACTTTGAAACCAATACTTTTTTCTGCAAAATTAGCTGCACATAATAGGCTCAGCTCATCCCTGTTGGGATTACCTCAGGGGTGACTTTGTCTTCCTGACTGCTGCTAACATGCTATGACAGAAAAGTGAAGGGAGAATTCTAATGTGCTAAATAGAGCCTGATTTATTGAAGGGATCTTTGCTTTATTAGCGGCAAAACTGTCATACTGCTCCATGCTGAAAATCAAGTGCTTTAGTCCATTAGTATGAATAAAGGGGAATTCAGCCAGTGAAGCAACAAGAGCCAAATGTTCTCCACACGCAAAAACTGGAACTGGGATTCATTACTCATTTAAAAAAATCTTGACTTTCTGTAATAAGATTCAAAAATTTGAGAATAAAATATGGGATAATTTATGGTTTAACTGTCTTTTCTTTTTATGCTTTCAAGGTCATAAATAGGACTGTGAGGGCGAGGGGACAAGTGGTGGAAATGAGGGTACTGCTATTAATTTTTTTTTTAAAGATTGATGTCAGAATAAATGAAGCAATTTGAACACATTTCTTCCTTGCTGGCAAAATAAGGGTATTGCAGAATTTTGGATTTTTGACATGGAATTGAACAGTGAAAAGGAAAGAGTAAACAGGGCAGCTTGCAGGGCAGCAGTTGAAGAAGGAGCAAAAAGGGTTTTCTTGTGTGTGTGTTTCTTTGTGGCTGATTAGCTGCTCTCCCTGTGCAAAGGTCAGAGGGGGCAGGGTTTCTGTTGAGGCAGGTGATTAGCTGTGGGAGTTTGATCCATCTTTTTGATCCATCCAGTTTGATCCATCTTTTAGATTTAGGGGAGCTAGTTTTAAACGTTTGTTGGGGGAAACCTAGGTTTTTTTGTGCGGGGAGTTATTTGTCCTGTCTTCACGCTTTTTATGATGGAGGACCGCTGTAGCCACCCCCAACGACATGTTCTCAAGATGGAGGGGGAGGGAACAGCTGCAGTTGCCTGCGGTTCCTGCGCAATGTTTGCCATCTTGCCAAAGGTTGCAGGCAGCTTTACCTGCAGCAATTGCATGTTGATTGCCCTCTTAAAAGACAAAGTCCAGCAACTGGAGGAACGTGTAGCTACGCTCCAAAGAATTAGAGAGCTGGAGCTCTTCTTGGAAGCAACAGAGCACACCGTATCCACCAAGGAGGAGACAGGGGACTCCCCTGAGAAGGAGGCTAGTTCACCAACACAGGAGCCAGATATATGGAGAAACGTGACTCAAAGAAGTAGGAGGCCCAGGGTTCGCTCTGATTGTTTAGAAATACACAATCGCTTTGAGGTCCTCTCCCCTAGCATGGAAGACGAAGAGCAGACTCCATTTGAGGATCTCTCCCTCATTACAGTCAATCAGGTAGAATCATAGAATCATAGAATCATAGAGCTGGAAGAGACCACAAGGGCCATCGAGTCCAACCCCCTGCCAAGCAGGAAACACCATCAGAGCACTCCTGACATATGGTTGTCAAGCCTCTGCTTAAAGACCTCCAAAGAGGAGACTCCACCACACTCCTTGGCAGCAAATTCCACTGTTGAACAGCTCTTACTGTCAGGAAGTTCTTCCTAATGTTTAGGTGGAATCTTCTTTCTTGTAGTTTGGATCCATTGCTCTGTGTCCACTTCTCTGGAGCAGCAGAAAACAACCTTTCTCCCTCCTCTATGTGACATCCTTTTCTATATTTGAACATGGCTATCATATCACCCCTTAACCTCCTCTTCTCCAGGCTAAACATGCCCAGCTCCCTTAGCCGTTCCTCATAAGGCATCGTTTCCAGGCCTTTGACCATTTTGGTTGCCCTCCTCTGGACACGTTCCAGTTTGTCAGTGTCCTTCTTGAACTGTGGTGCCCAGAACTGGACACAGTACTCCAGGTGAGGTCTGACCAGGGCAGAATACAGTGGCACTATTACTTCCCTTGATCTAGATGCTATACTCCTATTGAAGGTATGCTATACTCCTATTGAAGGTATATGAAGACGAGCAGCAAAGTCAGTCCTCAGGGAATGTGCAGGCGACCTTGGAACGGACAGCTCACGGAAGAACCCCGACCAAACCTAAGAGGAGACGTGTAGTGGTGATAGGGGATTCCCTACTGAGGGGAACAGAAGCAGTGATCTGTGGGCCTGACAAGATGTCTCGGGAAGTGTGCTGTCTCCCGGGGCTAAGATCCAAGATGTAACTGAACGACTGCAAGGAATCATAAAACCCACTGACAAATACCCCTTCCTCTTGGTTCATGTGGGAACCAATGACACTGCAAGCAATAGCCTCCAGAAGATCAAAAGAGACTACGAGGCTCTGGGCAGGAAATTGAAGCAATTAAATGCACAAATTGTCATCTCATCTGTCCTCCCAGTTGAACGAGGTGGCCCAGGGAGAGAGGGAAAAATAGTGGAAGTGAACAGCTGGCTTCGCAAATGGTGTAAACAGGAACGGTTTGGATTCTTAGATCACGGACTGCAGTTTCTTGAAGATGGACTTCTGACAAGCGATGGGCTGCACCTCACAACGGTTGGGAGAAATGTTTTTGCCAAAAATCTCAGAAACCTCATCAGGAGGGCTTTAAACTGACTAATGTGGGGAGGGAGACAGTGCTCCTGAAGGTAGGAGTCTATCAATTGATGAAGATGATCATCCAAATGTCATAGACCAAATGGAGCAAACAGCACGCAGACCTAGTGGTGGGAGGAAAAAATCCTTAAATAAGAGACACGGGGAATGATTAATGGACTTCAATGTCTGTACACTAATGTGCAAAGCATGGGAAATAAACAAGATGAGCTTGAGCTCTTGGTACAGCAAACTAAATATGACATAATAGGCATCACTGAAACCTGGTGGGATAAGTCCCACGATTGGAATGTAATAATGGGGGGGGATACAATCTATTTCAGAGAAACAGACCAGACAAGAAAGGAGGAGGAGTGGCGTTATATGTCAGGGATGTGTATACCTGTGAAGAGATCCAAGATTTAGAACCTCAAAGCCAAAGTGAGAGCATTTGGGTCAAAATTAAGGGAGAGAAGAATAACAGTGACCTCATTGTGGGAGTTTACTATAGATCCCCAAGCCAGATGGAGGACATAGATGATGCCTTCCTGGAACAGATGGCCAAGCATGCAAAAGGAAGTGAGATAGTAGAATAGAATCATAGAATCATAGAATCATAGAGTTGGAAGAGACCACAAGGGCCATCGAGTCCAACCCCCTGCCAAGCAGGAAACACCATCAGAGCACTCCTGACATATGGTTGTCAAGCCTCTGCTTAAAGACCTCCAATGAAGGAGACTCCACCACACTCCTTGGCAGCAAATTCCACTGTCAAACAGCTCTTACTGTCAGGAAGTTCTTCCTAATGTTTAGGTGGAATCTTCTTTCTTGTAGTTTGGATCCATTGCTCCGTGTCCGCTTCTCTGGAGCAGCAGAAAACAACCTTTCTCCCTCCTCTATGTGACATGTATTTGAACATGGCTATCATATCACCCCTTAACCTCCTCTTCTCCAGGCTAAATATGCCCAGCTCCCTTAGCCGTTCCTCATAAGGCATCGTTTCCAGGCCTTTGACCATTTTGTTTTTGTTTTTTTTAAATGATATTTATTAAGATTTCAAAAAATACAAAAGTTACACAAAAACAGAAAATAGAAAATACAAAAGCTTGCACAAAAAAGATAGAAAAATAAAAATAAAAATATGAAAAAGTAGAAAATACAGAAAAAAATAATAGTAAAAAAGAAAAAAAAGCATTAGACCTCCTCCTCCTCCCTTCCTTTGTATTCTAGTTATTAATTATCCCAGCAAATCCTTTCCTTTCCATATTTCAATAAGAAAATAAAACAAAGAAAGATTCCCAATTAATTTAATCCTATCTTTCTATAATAAAATAAACCTTAAAATTTAAAATTTAAGTCTTAACTTTACCAGCTTCTTATGTTCATAATGTTCTTTCATAATTCTTTATACATCTTTACTAAAGCCAGGTAATTTCTTCCAACATTTTTCTATCCTTCATTTTTCTATCATTCTATCATTCATCAACTTTATAAAACATTCTATTAGTTAAAAAAAAAAGAGAGAGAGAGAAGAGAAAAAAGCATATAAACAAGCCCAATCTTTATCCAACGTCCCTTCCTCCTGGTTCCGGGATTTGTCAGTCCTTATTTCCTCAATCTAACCCGGTGACCTTATGTCCGAGGCCCTCAGGTCACTTCCATGGCCCTTCCGCCGCTTTTCTTCATATTTGTGGCTATAGTCACTTACTCGTAGTAACTCCAACTTAATAGTGTTTTTAACCCTTCTCATCAAATCAGACCCTTTTCCATGTTCATCGCTGCATTCCATGTAGTATTTAAGAGCATGCTTCAAGGGCCCTCCAAAATTGTGGGCCCCCACAATTCCAAACATGTCGCAGCCTGTTACTGTATTTAAAAAGTCCAGATATCCCGACATAGGGGGGTCAATCCAGCCCCCCATTTCCAAACCACAGCAAACTTTCCCTTCCCAGATCTGGTTTTTTCCAAGTTCCATTGTCAAATCCGAAGGATCAAACGCCTGTTGAGACTGTTCTGTCAAACCACACTCCTGATTTAATGCCACAAACCCCTGTTCTGTCAAAACACACTCCTGGTTTGAGTCCTGGATGGACTCCACATATATTCCCACAGTCTGATCAAGACCTTCCACTCCCTGTTTAAGATTTCCAGTCGACTTGGCCATCTGGTTCACCTTATCATGTAATTCTTCCAGTAAAGTGTTTGTTTTATTAAACAGGCAGACCACAACTTCTGAAAACATTGTTGCACTCTCCCACGGTTATTTGTAGCACCTGTCAAGTTCTTGGCATTAGTTACAGTTTCAAAGGCTCCCCCTAGGGAGAAGACTTATGTTTGTTTTTGCTACATTTCCATGTTACTTGAAATACTTTATCCATATATATTCCTTTAAAATGCGAAAGGGGACAGTAGAGTCACAAAGATTCTCTTCTTTTTTAGCTATCTGTCACACACAGTTATCTTGATTGATTCTCGTCAGTCCTGACTTCCCCGCTCCAGGATCAGGACGAAAATAACTTCCTTTTACTGCTTCAAATAGTCCAAAAAAAATATTCCCAATTTGAAATGTTGGAATCCACTCTTTCAAAAGCAATTTTCAAAGCTCTAGTATAAATTGCCTTTGCTTTGTTCTATTTACAAAAGAACGGAAGGGTGACTTCCTGTTTAGCCCTTCCCGCTCCGTACCAAATTCAATTGATTTTTTTCTTTTCTTTTTTATAGTCCAATTCTGTCCTTTTCACTAATCTTCATTTACTGTCCCAATTTGTTCCAATTCTGAGTACTCACGGATGTTTGTTTTAAAGTCCGAATTGTCCAGGAAAAAAGGCAGCGCTCTCCGGCAACAGCTACACGGCTTCACTCCACAAAAGAAGCAGACAACTCGCAGCACAGCGCCACTTCCCCGCTCTGTTCCGGAGCCCGTTGCCGGGTTCCTTTGCAGATTGGGGGGGCGCAAACAGTGCCCGCCGAGTCCCAGGGTCACAGGCTTCACCCGCCTGTGGTTTAAAGGGTCCCCGCTGCGCCGAAGCGGTACTAGACCCGATTTCTGTGGAGCGGTTTCCCTCCGAATTAGAGGGATTCCGCCATTGCCGTTGGCGCCACCTTCGGAAGTCCAGGCCTTTGACCATTTTGGTTGCCCTCCTCTGGACACGTTCCAGTTTGTCAGTGTCCTTCTTGAACTGTGGTGCCCAGAACTGGACACAGTACTCCAGGTGAGGTCTGACCAGAGCAGAATACAGTGGCACTATTACTTCCCTTGATCTAGATGCTATACTCCTATTGATGCAGCCCAGAATTGCATTGGCTTTTTTAAGCTGCCGCGTCACGCTGTTGGCTCATGTCAAGTTTGTGGTCAACCAAGACTCCTAGATCCTTTTCACATGTACTGCTCTCAAGCCAGGTGTCACCCATCTTGTATTTGTGCCTCTCATTTTTTTTGCTCAAGTGCAATACTTTACATTTCTCCCTGTTAAAATTCATCTTGTTTGTTTTGGCCCAGTTCTCTAATCTGTCAAGGTCGTTTTGAAGTGTGATCCTGTCCTCTGGGGTGTTAGCCACTCCTCCCAGTTTGGTGTCATCTGCAAATTTGATCAGGATGCCCTTGAGTCCATCATCCAAGTCGTTGATAAAGATGTTGAATAAGACCGGGCCCAAGACAGAACCCTGTGGCACCCCACTAGTCACTCTTCTCCAGGATGAAAAGGAACCATTGATATTTGTTGAATGTCAAACTCAGCCAAGAGCCTAAGGTCAAACAGATTCCACACTGGCCTTGCAGACAACTTCATTATCCAGAAAGTGGGAGAAGCAACAAGAGGAACAGCCATTTTAGATCTGGTCCTAACCAATGTTGATGACCTCGTTAGTGGGGTAGAAGTGGAAGGATCATTAGGCGCGAGTGATCATGCTCTTCTGAAGTTTACTATACAGCGGAAAGGAGCAGCCAAGCATACTAGGACTCAATTTCTTGACTTTAAGAAATCCGACTTCATAAAACTTAGGGAAGTGCTGGGTGAGATCCCATGGACAGTAATACTAAAAGGAAAGGGAGTTCATGATGGCTGGGAGTTTGTTAGGAGGGAGATAGTAAAAGCACAACGTCAGGCAATACCAATGAGACGGAAACATGGAAAGTGCCTAAAGAAGCCAGGGTGGCTATCTAAAGAACTTTTAACTAAGTTAAGATTAAAAAAGGATGTGTACAAAAATGGAAAAGGGGGGAAATCACCAAAGAGGAATTCAAACAAATAGCCAGCTCGTGTAGACACAAAGTCAGAAAAGCTAAAGCACAGAATGAACTCAGGCTTGCTAGAGAGGTTAAAAGCAACAAAAAAGGCTTTTATGGGTATGTTCGTAGCAAAAGGAAGAACAAAGAAACAGTGGGGTCACTCAGAACAGAAGATGGTGAAATGCAAACAGGGGACACAGAAAGGGCTGAACTCCTCAATGCCTTCTTTGCCTCAGTCTTCTCCGATAAAGAAAACAATGCCCGACCTGAAGAATTTGGAGCAAATGATTCAGCAAAGGAAACACAGCCCAGAATAACTAAGGAGATAGTACAAGAATACTTGGCTAGTTTAGATGTATTCAAGTCCCCAGGGCCAGATGAACTGCATCCAAGAGTATTAAAAGAACTGGCAGATGTGATCTCAGAACCACTGGCAGTCATCTTTGAGAATTCCTGGAGAACAGGCGAAGTCCCGGCAGACTGGAGGAGGGCAAATGTTGTCCCTATTTTCAAAAAGGGGGAAAGAGAGGACCCAAATAATTACCGCCCAGTCAGTCTGACATCAATAGCAGGGAAGATTCTGGAGCAGATCATTAAGCAAACAGTCTGTGAGCACCTAGAAAGGAATGCTGTGATCACCAATAGTCAGCATGGATTTCTGAAAAATAAGTCATGTCAGACTAACCTGATCTTGGTTTTTGACAAAATTACAAGCCTGGTAGATGAAGGGAACGCAGTGGATGTAGCCTACCTTGATTTCAGCAAGGCATTTGACAAGGTGCCCCATGATATTCTTGTAAAGAAGCTGGTAAAATGCGGTCTTGACTATGCTACCACTCAGTGGATTTGTAACTGGCTGACTGACCGAACCCAAAGGGTGCTCATCAATGGTTCCTCTTCATCCTGGAGAAGAGTGACTAGTGGGGTGCCACAGGGTTCTGTCTTGGGCCCGGTCTTATTCAACATCTTTATCAACGACTTGGATGATGGACTCAAGGGCATCCTGATCAAATTTGCAGATGACACCAAACTGGGAGGGGTGGCTAACACCCCAGAGGACAGGATCACACTTCAAAACGACCTTGACAGATTAGAGAACTGGGCCAAAACAAACAAGATGAATTTTAACAGGGAGAAATGTAAAGTATTGCACTTGGGCAAAAAAATGAGAGGCACAAATACAAGATGGGGGACACCTGGCTTGAGAGCAGTACATGTGAAAAGGATCTAGGAGTCTTGGTTGACCACAAACTTGACATGAGCCAACAGTGTGACGCGGCAGCCAAAAAAGCCAATGCAATTCTGGGCTGCATCAATAGGAGTATAGCATCTAGATCAAGGGAAGTAATAGTGCCACTGTATTCTGCTCTGGTCAGACCTCACCTGGAGTACTGTGTCCAGTTCTGGGCACCACAGTTCAAGAAGGACACTGACAAACTGGAACGTGTCCAGAGGAGGGCAACCAAAATGGTCAAAGGCCTGGAAACGATGCCTTATGAGGAACGGCTAAGGGAGCTGGGCATGTTTAGCCTGGAGAAGAGGAGGTTAAGGGGTGATATGATAGCCATGTTCAAATATAGAAAAGGATGTCACATAGAGGAGGGAGAAAGGTTGTTTTCTGCTGCTCCAGAGAAGCGGACACGGAGCAATCGATCCAAACTACAAGAAAGAAGATTCCACCTAAACATTAGGAAGAACTTCCTGACAGTAAGAGCTGTTTGACAGTGGAATTTGCTGCCAAGGAGTGTGGTGGAGTCTCCTTCTTTGGAGGTCTTTAAGCAGAGGCTTGACAACCATATGTCAGGAGTGCTCTGATGGTGTTTCCTGCTTGGCAGGGGGTTGGACTCGATGGCCCTTGTGGTCTCTTCCAACTCTATGATTCTATGATTCTAAGCACTGTGCAGATTTGAGGAGAACCCCTGCAGGACCATGTTTCAATGGTGTTACTTCCCTTGTCAACTCTGTCAAGGATGAATATAGATCAGGGGTTGTATCCTGCTAAGTCATACTCAGAGCAGAGCCACTGAGATTAATGGACCTGTATAATATGGAAAGCATAACTTCTTTGACACTGCTCATTAACCATGCTGGCATCCTCTTGGCCCTGGTGATGAGTTTCCTGATGAGTTTCTGTTATTGGGTTTTTAACAACTGCCAAACTTTTTGAAGAGATGTGGACCTCTTTACTTTTCAGCTTTTTTTTTTTTTTACAAATCCCCTTTTTTGGCAGTTTCCTCATTTGAAGTTAAATGTGTTGGATTTTCTTGGCAATCGTCTACTTAGTTATATGTTGAATTTGATAGCACTCTGGTCACTGATCCCAACTGTTCAGCATCTTGCACCAAGGCCAAGACTGCCACCCCTAACTGTTCTAGGATACTTCTTTGTCATAAGTGGAACATGCATGTGTCACTTTTATTGCAGCGTTTCCCTTTTTTGGTGCCTCCTTGATTTCATTCTCTATCTCAAGATCACCCTAACCATTATGGTCAGGGAGACGATAGTGCAACACTAATACTGCCTATCATATTCCCACCCCCAGTTCTTAAAATGTAATTACAGTCTAGCTTTCCCTTTTTTAGGTCTGCGTGGTGGCCTTATTGGGACTAGTGATGCTATGTGTTTCTTACCAACCGGATGAGAAGACCTGTATACAGTTTGCCATCAAGGTACATTGCCTGATACTGTTTTTTCTTCCTTGTTAACCTCAAATATCTGAGAAGCCAGAAGGGGTGGTGGGTTTCTGGAGATTAGAGTGTTGGCCTTATTGTCCTGCCTTTTGCCTCTTCCAAGAAGAAGAGATTTTATAAGTAGGCAAATAAGTGCAAATGTCTTATGCCAGCCTTCCTCAACCTGGTGCCCTCCAGACATTTTGGACTACAACTCGCATCAGCTCCAGCTTGCACAGCTGTGATACACAGATAAAATAATTCAGCTTCTTGCAAGGGTTCACACATTTTCACTGGGCTTGGTAGCTAACCATTATTTTGAGTAGCCAAGATGATTTTGTCGCTTTACTTCTTTCTCTATGGAAGCAAAATGTATGTCCCTTTTGTACACGCTATGAAAATTCTTGGGAGGAAAATGTTGCAGCCTAGGAAGCTGCCTCATTCAAAGTCTGTCTGGCCCAGTATTGTCCACAGTGACTGACCAGCAGTAGCCTTCCAGAGTTTCAGATAGGGGACATTTTCAGCCCTACCTGGAGAGGCCAACAATTGAACCTGGGACCTTCTGCTCTACCTATGTGCTATGGCCTTTCCCCTAACAATATGTGTTTGCGTGCTTGGATAAACCCCTCTCTTTCTGCCCATAACACTAAGGCTGCCATTTTGCATCCTGATGACTTTTGAAAAAGTCTGATAGTCTCCTGTGGCACAATGCACAGGAATGTTTCTCTGCTGGATTCCAGAATTACATTTCAGGCTATGTTCCCCTCCAAATCTGTAGCAAAGTTTTACATTTGTTTCCCAGTGTTTTGCCGTGCCCTAGAAACTGAGTAATTGATATTCAAGCTGAGGGTCATAGCTGTCACTCAATGGGGCCTTAAATTTCTGTGTGCCATGGGCAACCTTGTTGCTATTTGTGGATCGCTGGGTTTTGTTTTTTTTGGCTCAATAAATTTGACAGATTTATTCATTATTGATCTGATAGCATGTGTACAAAGAAACCAAGGCATGATTAGGATTTTGTTTAAAGTCTTTATTCCCCTCCCCCCCTTTATCTTTTGCCAGTAGAACTGAAAAAGAGACGTGTGTGGGATGTCATTCACAGTCCAACACATCCCTTTCTCCTCTCTTCTATGTTTATGTAGCAATCACCAGCCTGTATTTATGTCAAGCTGTGAAAAACAGCAAATCCAAACTCCTTTTCTAGCTCCTTTCTTTGTTGTGTGTGCAGTTTTGGAATTGCTTCTTAGTCTGCCATGTGATTGATCTGCTGATGAGATCTCAGGGTAACCTCGTGCACAAGCTTTGATCCTCTCCTTTGATGTCCTCGTTCTGAAATGTGGAGAAAATGTTCTGCCCTTCCAGTGCCTGAAACCATGCAATAAACATTTAACAGGGCAATAGCTCCTACCCCAAAGCCCACATGATTCTCCCTGTCTCTGAGGATTGCCTTGAAGGGTGCCTATACAGTGGTACCTCAGTTTACGAACAACCTAGTTAACGAACTTTTTGGATTACGAATGCTTCAAACACGGAAATGAGTGTTCTGGGTTAGTTTTTTTTGGTATACGAATGTACTCTGTTGGGGGTGCACTTTTGTTTTGAGTGCCACACTTCCGTTGTCCGGCAACGGAGAACGGGGTTGTCAAGGCGTTTCTGCAGCTGCGAGGGAGGGAAGCTGTGCGCCCGCCAGCCAGCTGGTTTGCAGGCGTGCAACTCTCTCCCCCCCCCATGCCGCTGCAGGAGGCACACGCTCTAGGGAGCATTTCCTGCAGCAGCTTGGGGGGGGGGGAATCTGTGTGGATCCCAGTTCAGCTAGTGATTGATTGTGTGACTGCAGAAATGGATAAAAGCCCCCCCCCCCCAGCAATGACTATCATCAGTGCAGGTAAGAAAATTTTTAAATTTTTATTTTTATCATCTACAATACTGTTTTAGTTATTTTATAGTACAGTACATTGATTATTGCTTTCATTTTATGTTAGATAGTAAAATTCATGTTAAATTGCTGCTTTAGGGGTTGTTTTTAAAAGTCTGGAACAGATTAATCCATTTTGCATTACTTTCTATGGGAAAGCGTGCCTTGGTTTGGGAACGCTTTGTTTTAGAACAGACTTCCAGAACGGATTAAGTTCGTAAACCAAGGTACCACTGTTATATGTTTTACAGTCGCTGATGACCTAAATACTGCATTTGGAGGCATTTCTTTTAAAAATATTATTATAGATGTACCAACATTTCATAAGAATATGAGAAGAGCACTGCTGGATCAGACCAAAGGTCTGTGTAGTTGAACATTGCCCCTGTTTCCCACAAGCTGCCTCTGGGAAGCCCACAAGCCAGGCTCTGAGGCAAGTGAGAGACTCTCTTGCTCTTGTTTTCTGGCAACAGCCATTTAGTTACATACTGTCTCTCTGAACTTCAACTTTCCATATGGCCATCCTGCTAAAAAGCCATCAATTTATTTCTCAAACATATTGAAGGGTCACCTTTTCCGAGTCAAACTCGCTAAGGGGACTTTACACAATAAAATACTTTTTAAAAAAAACTTTCCAACTACTACTATTATTATTTATTTAATTTATATACCACCTTAGTCAAAAGATGAATATAATACAAAACTTCATGTTGAAAGCTCACACAATTAATAAAGCCAGGAACAATGATGAAACACATATTTTTCCCACAAAGTCCCAAAGCGACTTGATATCAACATAGAGAGTCACTAGTTGATAAGCCAGTAGAAATAAGTGGGTCTTCAAGGCCTTTCAGAAGTGTAGTACCTGAAATGTAGTAGTTTTATGAAGTCAGCTGACAGTGAATTCCATTGTCATGGTTGACCTTAACATGCGGGCAGGTTGGTATGGGCATAGTGGCCTGTCAAATAATTTGTTAGATCAATAGCTCTATGTTGGTTAACTGAAACTTAGACAGGGGTGTTGTTGATGGATTCTTGTTACTGTTCTTGTAAAAAATGTATCATAGATGTACTTTGGAATCCAATGTAATGCAATATCTGCTGGTATTTTTGAGCATCATAAGTATTAAATTATGTCAATAATAAATATGAGGGGAAAGTAGTAGCAGAATCATTTTGGGCTACTTCTTACTCTTGCACCTAGAGTTGGCCCTACCATTAGGCGGAGTGAACTGGCTACCTCCAGCTCACCAAGAAGTGAGGAGCAGCAGAGAAGAGTGGCGGGCTTCGGCTCAGGCATAAAAAAGCCTTGGGATGCCCTGCTTACTGTCAGAGTAAACCTTTTCAGATGCAAGACTGAAAGTGTGCCTCCAATTTTAATTCAGAGCAGAATTGTGGCTTAGCTATCAGAATAATGGGAAATGCGATCCTAATGTGAATCCAGAACTCCATTAAACTTCAAAATAAGCACAATTTATGTCAGTATGAGATAAAAGAACAAGGCTTTTAGGAACTACATTAACACTGATGTACTTACAGCTATTGTTAGCAAGCTTGTTTTAAGAAACATTTTTTTAAAGATTTGTCTGATATATTTCTTGCTGACTTTTTCTTCAAGTGTGACTTAAATAAGTTTAAGTTAGCCCCCCATTGTTATGCACAGTTTCCACAGCTACATTTGGCCCTCCACAATGTAGGGTAATTTCCAATGTTACTCATTCTCAGAGTAGACCCATTGAAATCAAGTCTATTGGCTTTTGTTGGGTTCTGCACACAGCAAAAAGGACAAAATGGAGGGGAGGGTTTTCAAACAGGAAAAACATTTACAAAATTTATAAAATTTGCAAGTTACCCAGTCACAGATCTTCTGTTGTCTAATTTGAACTTTAGTTGTTTGTTCCCACTTTCCTGTGCATTTTCTCTGTCTTTTTTAAAAAAAGAATATGTCGTCATATTTCACACGCAGCCTTATTACCAAAAGTACAGAGTTCAGTTAAAACTACCCCCAGTTTTCGTTTTTAAAAAAGCTTCCACAGTATAGTCATTTTATTTCAAAAGACTCTGCAAAATAAAATTCTGCACATTTTAACTTAGTTTGGGGGCAGAACATATATAACCACTTCAAATGTTGTCAATAAACCTGGCTATTCCCCTCCCCACCAAATGAAGTCACAAACAGGAAGAATGATTCATACAGTTGATGGAAGAGGCATATACCTGGGCTATGGATTTTATCAACACAGACAGACTTGGAACATCAAGGTCACAAAACTGCTTTTGTATTGATGGTTTCCTCATGCTGCGACCACAAAAAAGACTCTCTTCCTCCATGTCAAGTTGCTGACATAAGAAGCTGGGGGCGGGGCAGGGAAATGAGGATGGTACTGACTAGAGAGTGATTTCCACCTCCTCTCATAATACAAAACTTGGAGTCATCCAGTGGAATTGCTTGGCAGTAGTTTCAGGGCAAACAAAAGAAAGTAGTTCTCCGTATAATGCAGGGGTGGGCAGTTTGTGGACCCCCAGATGCTGTTGGACTCCAGCTCTGCCATCAAGTATGATCAGGGATTATGGGAGCTGCCAAGCAACATCTGAAAGGCCACAGGTTCCCCAAATCTGACTTATGAGATTCTCTGCCATTAACTTTTTAAAAGATGCAGGACAATTTCATCAACAGTAGCTGTGAAAAGTAGGGCTAGCTGCAAGAAAATGCTGCAGCGTGGAGTGTTCACTGCTCCACAATACTCCATTCCATTTTCCTTCCCACATAATTCCTCCACCACCACCAGTTAGTTAACGTTACGTGGCCACTGAGCATGCTCAGTCCTCATTGGGCTGTTTCAGTTCCTTCCACCCTCACTAAAGATTCTGTATACTTCAGCAAACATCATCCTTGTGTGTGGATGGCTCTGTTTTGGCCCAATGAGCAGTGGCGGTACTTACCTCTACACATTGGAAATAGAGAGAATGATGGCTAAATGAAGTCTTCCTATTCATAGGCCACAGGCCTCTGAATTTTAGATGACAGGAAGAAGAATCAAGTGGATTATTGCCTGTATGCCTTGCTTCTGTTGACTCCTGGTAGAATCTGGTAGACCACTGTGGGGAGGAGGATGCTGAACTATATGGATTCTTAACTATATGGTAGTCTTAACTACCAGGGCTCTAATCACATTCTTAAATGTACAATGACTGCTTAGAGTACACTGTTGCTAGGTTTAGGGGGCACTTGGGGCTCCAGTCCCTCAATAATTTGAATTAGGGGGCCCAGCCCCCCAATATTGAGGGGGCCAACACCCACCGCCAGGTGCCCTCCGGGTGCCCCAGCTCCCACCCAGCAGCTGGGACAAGCGAGAGCGAAGATTGCCCTCCGCACGTGTCTGCCCCCCCCGCATGTCACGGGGAAGAGGAGGAGCATAAAGCAGCGCCATGCTCCGCCTCCTTCTCCCTGCAGCATGTCATGTGATGTGTGCCCCCAATGTGGGGGGCAAGCTGGTGCCCCTGTTAACAATAGTAACAATAGTAACTGATTAGAAGGTTGTGTTTATGTTAGGTAGGCAAAAATAGTAACGTCAGTGCAGAATAGCAAAACAACAGCTATTCTGCACATGAAAATCTGATGAGATGTTACTTGGTTTGTGAAACAAAAAGAAAAATATGTTTCATACTCCGGGCCAGCCCACCCATGAGGCAAGGTGAGGAGACTGCTTTGGGTGGCAGGATCCACAGGGGGAGCAGATCTTTATTACCCCCCTCCACTCACCCCTTCTTCCCTAGCTGGGAGGGGAGCATCCATTGTGGTCCACCTCAGGTGCTAGAATGTACTCATACTCTGCATAGAGTAGCAAGCAGATGCAAGTGAGTTTCAGCAGGGAGGGCAGCAAAGAGACGTTTGTGTGCGTGGGGCAGGGGAAACGTTATTCAGTAAAGTCAAGAGGCCTACCCTTAGATACATTAAGAATACAAAGAAGTTCATCAAGTCCCTCATTCTGTGATGGAGGCACACAGTATGCGATAAGCAACTCCCTTACAACACACTGATTTTGTTGTACTGCATCTCAGGTTACATCATCAACCCCACAGTGAAGTCTTGAAACAGGCTGATCACTATATTCATCCATGTGCCTAAATAAGTCAACATGTTGTGCTTCCACAGCCTTTTTGTGTGATTTCACAAACAAGTTAAGCAATTCAAGCAAAGTCCCACGCTTGGGGCATGTTGGTACAGTAATGACACACATCAGTTAAATATAATTACCTGCTCATGGCTTACTGGAAGCATCTGATAGGCCAGCACAGGAAAGAGGCTATTCACCTAGGTGGATTCTTGATCTGATCCAGCGGAATCTTTTCTCATTCTTTATAGTCTTATTTCCTGAATGTTCAAAGTGCTTAAAATATATTACATCTGTAATCTTGTAAAGTAGGCTTACTTTACATGATGTATCATCAGCATACAGATTGAGAGATGGGGTTAAAGCTGAGAGATATTAACAAAAGAGAAGCACTATTTTTAACAAAAAATATATTGGCTCCAATGAAGAGTTAGACTTGCAGGCAAAATGCTAAATTATATGAGCTTGTTTTTTCTAGCATCACTTGAGGTACACCTCTCCTTTTATTGGATTTTAGCATCTCGTCCTGCTGTCTTTATTTTTTGACTTATCAGCTTCTCTAATGCCACCTAGCATATAGCTCACATCATAGAATCATAGAGTTGGAAGGTCCTTAGCCAATACTCTATCACAGCTCTATTAACTGTTCAGAATCATCTCACTTTGGAGATGTAACCCTTTTAAACTCAGCTCAACATTGTGAATATTTCTCTGCTCCCGCCCCTTGATTGAAGTTTGCTTTCTTGCTCATAGATTGCAGCATCAAGTAATGGCATGCATCTGTGAGCTAGACAAAATTTGTAAATGTCCAAAAACTCAGATGGATTGGTGAATTTTGACAGGTACCCAGATGTGATTGGCAGAGCTCATTGTTGTTTGTTCAAAACATAGGAAAATCATCACCTATTTCTGGACATTTGTGAAAGTCATCTGGGACTGTCAGAGTTCATATATAAATGGCAACCTTCACCAACTTGCAAACATTCACTGTAAAGCCCATATAAAATTGCTTGTAATGCTGAAAATAAATTCATTGTGTTTCCTTTCCAGGTTGCATACTTTCTGCTGAGCGCTCTGAGTCTGATTGTCTGTGTTTTGGCAGTAGCTTTTGCTGCCTACTGTTATTCACAGATCACACAGTTTACCTGTGAAACCATCACTGAGGCCTGTCAGTGTAAACTGGAAACAGTGGATCCCCTCAGCAGAACCTTCATGTACAAGAATGTATCCGACTGTACCGACATCACCAATACTTTCAACCTTTACTTGCTGATCCAGATAGTGCTTAACCTCCTTGCAGCAATTGTGGGCTTCACAGTGTGTTTTGTGATGTGGAAAGACAGATACCAGGTCTTTTATGTAGGCATCTGGCTACAGTCATTAACTACTACTGAAGTCCAACAACAGAAAGTATAGGCATCCAGGCTGTGTTGAGAAGAACAGTAAATCATCATCATCATCCCACCACCCAATGGATGGCTGTTCATAAAGCTGGGGAACGGAGAGAGAAATTGCTCAATTAATATTATTGGTTCAGAGAAATTATGTGAAATTTCTATAATAACAGTTACCAGACCCTCTGCCACATCTCCTAGGTGCACCAAGGAGATCCCTGCCTGTTTCCCTTTCTAGATCAGGAACTGCAGGCACTATTTGCCTATACATTGAAATGTGGATGTCATCTATCCGTATTGCTTTCATTACACATTCCCCATCTACTTTCTGGTGCAACTAGTCATGGGCAAATACTTTTTTAAAAGTGCAAGTCAAGTTGGATTGGAGTAGTTATGTTTTCAGGTTAAGCTTAAGGTTACTGAGCCAAGAGGTAACTACTGCACTTACCTCTAGGTAGCAGTAGCTCAGGGGGGCTACTTCTAGTGTACCATGAGGCAAGTACCCCAGGATTAAATGCCAAAAAGGCAAGCCCCATACAGTGGTACCTCGGGTTAAGAATTTGTTCTGGAGGTCCGTTCTTAACCTGAAACTTAACCTGAGGTACCACTTTAGCTAATGGGGCCTCCTGCTGCCACCATGCGATTTCTGTTCTCATCCTGAAGCAAAGTTCTTAACCCAAGGTACTATTTCTGGGTTAGCAGAGTCTGTAACCTGAAGCGTATGTAACCCGAGGTACCACTGTATATGTTTTTAATCTGATCCTTCCTCCAAGGAGCAAAAGGTGGCACAATGCAGCCTCTCTCACAGCGATATGCAGTTAAGTTTTTTTCAGATTACACCCATGAGCATGGTTAAGGCCATTGATTAACCCGAGGTACGATTTCTGGGTTAGCAGAGTCTGTAACCTGAAGCGTATGTAACCCGAAGTACCACTGTATACCCTTTCCCCCAAAATATGTTTTTACACAGATGGATTTTCAGTTTATAGAATAGCAGCTTGGTTGGCCTGTCCTCCATGGTTGCTCAAAATAACATGCATATCTTCTGCTGAAATGGTCAGGTCAAACTGTGTGGTCATGTACAATGGTGGGCATAGACCCATCCCATTATGCTTTGCCAGTGTGGAACATAGCCATGGAGTGTGTCCTAAGAGCTTGGATGGAGGATAGATACAGTGCAACGTGTAAACCAGACCTATTATGAAAGGAAGTTTCTAGAAAGTGGTTCCCTAGCCTTAAATCTGTTCCTATAGATCCAGGTAACCTGCAGTCCAGGTTATGGTCACTCAGTACCTCTAAATGTTGAATGTGTGGATGATCATATGTGACCTTCAGTAACACAAGACAGTGTTGCCACTCCACTTTATCTAAACTATTGTAGTTGTCCAGCCCATTTGAATGATCGTATACTTTACATTAATCCAGGACCACATATTTTAATTTACACTTAAAATATCATCATGTTAAAACAATATATTCAAAATCAGTCATTGGGCACAATTCAGATTTTTTATTATTAAATGCAGCAGAAACTTGCTTAAGTATCTTGATCCCACCGAAACTAACAGCAAACATTCAATTGACTTACCAGATCTAGGCTGTATTTTAACCCCCTGTGAAAACAACAAAACTAGGAACACTGCCGATAGGAGTTAAAGCACATTTATATTGTCTCTGGATTGCACCCTTCACCTCCTGTCCTCCCCAACAGAGGCACCAACTTGAGCAGAAGATTTCGGGCACCAATGATGTGTGGGATGCCGGGAAGAGCCAGGGGGCAGAGCCAAATGCTGTGGCATCGCTGCTTCTTTGGCACTTGGCCTATTCCTCCCACACACCCCACCCACTGGCCAGGAGCTGCTTTCCCCCTCCACAGCAGGAAGGGGAGGAGGAAGAGCTGCCAGCAGCTGAAACCAGGCCACACCATAGTTGGCTGCGTGATAGGCCTTCTCTGACCCTGATTGTCCTCACATTGAGGGGGGCAATATTTTATGGGAGGACAAAGGGACCTGAGCCTCTTAAGAGTCAGCACCTAAGAGTGTTAATAAATGACATTGACATAAACGTTAATACTTAAGAAAGGTATTTAAGAATTGTGTCACACAAATCTATAGCAGATGAGAGCATAAGCTTCTCTTCTGTCCATTTACCTTGTTCCAAAAGTTGTCTCTTTAGAGCTGCTTTTATTAACCCAGATAACCTGTTGGCTTTACTCTATAATATTATTTACAGTGGTGCAAAACCATGTAGGGTTAACAAAAAACCATGCACAGCAAAGTCTTGGGATTGACTCTAATTATGTCTAATTTTTTTTAGTTCATTATATACAGTGCTTTTTTCTGTGGCCACGCATACCCCTGAACATTTTGTGAATCTTTGTAATTTTGTCCATTTACTATATTTATTTTTCCCGATTTGAACTATAAAATGGTGATTTACTAATCTTCTCCAATCCTCTGGCCACTGCTGAGTTTTCCAAACTTGCTGGCATATTAAGTGTAGCACCTTGATAGTATCATCTTTTAAAATTTTAAATAGTTCAGCTGGAATACCATCACTTCCACTGGCCTTGTTATTTGCAGTGCTTTCTAAGGCCCATTGGACTTCACTCTCCAGGATGTCTGGCTCAAGGTCAGTAACCACACTACCTGGGGTGTGCGAGTCATCCATATCTTTCTGGTATAATTCCTCTTTGTATTCTTGCCACCTCTTCTTGATGTCTTCTGCTTCTGTTAGGTCCTTACCACTTTTGTCCTTTATTATGGTAATCTTTGTACGAAATGTTCCTTTCATATCTCCAATTTTCTTGAAAAAATCTCTGGTTCTTCCCATTCTGTTGTTTTCCTCTATTTCTTTGCATTGCTCGTTTAAGAAGGCCTTCTTGTCTCTCCTTGCTATTTTTTGGAAATCTGCATTCAATTTCCTGTATCTTTCACTATCTCCCTCGCATTTTGCTTGCCTTCTCTCCCCCGCTATTTGTAAGGCCTCGTTGGATAGCCACTTTGCTTTCTTGCATTTCCTTTTCATTGGGATGGTTTCCGTTGCTGCCTCCTGTATAATGTTGCGAGCCTCCATCCATAGTTCTTCAGTTCTTAAATCCTTAAACCTGACCCTCATTTCCACTGTGTATTCATAAGGGATTTGACTTAGACTGTATCTTACCGGCCCAGTGGTTTTTCCTACTTTCTTCAGTTTAAGCTTGAATTTTGCTATAAGAAGCTGATGATCTGAGCCACAGTCAGCTCCAGGTCATGGATCACGTTTGGTCAAAACTCTCCACTATGACCTGTTCATCTTGGGTGCCCTGCATGGCATAGTTCATAGCTTCTCTGAGTTATTCAGGCTCCTTCGCCACGGCAAGGCAATGATCCATGAAAGGGATATATATATATATATATATATATATATATATATATATATATAAACTTATAGTGGTTTTATACTAATTTAGTTGCCGAAGCATCTCCCAAAGAACCATGGGATTTGTAGTAGCTTGCTGAGCATGTTAAGAATGATCAGTTAATGATGCCTAGTCCCTTTCACAGAACTACAGGTCCTGTCATTTCCTGGGGACGGAATTAAATGACCATGTCTGTAGTTTACATATGCTCCACCCACCTGTCCCAACCTATAAGATTAGTTGGACCTAAACTAACAGAAAATATCATATAGCTGTTTCTGATCCCAAAGCTGGCATATGAAAGATAGTACTTGACTATTAGCCAAATCCATATATTGCTGCTGTTGTGGCAAAACTTTCTATATTTGCATTCCCTCTCCTTTACCATCTCCATCAATGCAACACAGCTAGAATCAGTCATACAACCCCAAATCATCCCATTTTACAGACCAGACTGTATGACCACATATGAAAGGTCACTTCTTGAACTTAGTTGGAGAAAAGGCTATACTAGAAAACCTGATTTTATAGGATTCAGAACCTGCCACCTGAAACAGCTGTGTCTCTCTACCTCATCTCGAGACAGTCATGTGTAAATACTGCTGCAATGGAGTATAATATGCTTTTGAGGACACCCTATCCTCCTAAATACATGATTCCATGCAGGCAATGAGACTTGCACTCCAATCTTAAACGTATTCACCTTGAAATGGCAGGTTGTATTAACTTCCATTCAAAACCCATTTTCCTTAACTGTATGTATTGTGGATCAAGTACAATCCTACACTGTAGACTTCTGTGGCTGGTAGCATACAAGGGCTAGTCCAACATGATTGACTGATGCATGTCTTAAGACTTGCATTCTGAGATACTATCCTGATCAAATTTGCAGATGACACCAAACTGGGAGGGGTGGCTAACACCCCAGAGGACAGGATCACACTTCAAAACGACCTTGACAGATTAGAGAACTGGGCCAAAACAAACAAGATGAATTTTAACAGGGAGAAATGTAAAGTATTGCACTTGGGCAAAAAAATGAGAGGCACAAATACAAGATGGGGGACACCTGGCTTGAGAGCAGTACATGTGAAAAGGATCTAGGAGTCTTGGTTGACCACAAACTTGACATGAGCCAACAGTGTGACGCGGCAGCTAAAAAGCCAATGCAATTCTGGGCTGCATCAATAGGAGTATAGCATCTAGATCAAGGGAAGTAATAGTGCCACTGTATTCTGCTCTGGTCAGATCTCACCTGGAGTACTGTGTCCAGTTCTGGGCACCACAGTTCAAGAAGGACACTGACAAACTGGAACGTGTCCAGAGGAGGGCAACCAAAATGGTCAAAGGCCTGGAAACGATGCCTTATGAGGAACGGCTAAGGGAGCTGGGCATGTTTAGCCTGGAGAAGAGGAGGTTAAGAGGTGATATGATAGCCATGTTCAAATATAGAAAAGGATGTCACATAGAGGAGGGAGAAAGGTTGTTTTCTGCTGCTCCAGAGAAGCGGACACGGAGCAATGGATCCAAACTACAAGAAAGAAGATTCCACCTAAACATTAGGAAGAACTTCCTGACAGTAAGAGCTGTTTGACAGTGGAATTTGCTGCCAAGGAGTGTGGTGGAGTCTGCTTCTTTGGAGGTCTTTAAGCAGAGGCTTGACAACCATATGTCAGGAGTGCTCTGATGGTGTTTCCTGCTTGGCAGGGGGTTGGGCTCGATGGCCCTTGTGGTCTCTTCCAACTCTATGATTCTATGAAAACTTAGATAAATGTCTGTCTTTGCTGCTGAGCTACAGAATCAACACTGAATTCTAAGAAATTACAAAAGATCCACTTTTCTTGGCTACTTCAGGAGAACCTTTCTAAAATGAAAGGGCTCAATTCAGCTGCATGCAATGGTGCTCTCATGGACTCAGGGAGCATGGGGAAAACCACTCCTTGGTCAGAGGTCTTCTGGTGCTGCCAGCTTTTATTATCACGGCAACAGAACATCTGCCTCATCATCTGATAACATGCCAAGATGGTGACTGTCTTGCCTAAGCCATAAAACACAGCCTTGCACAAACCACAGTCAACAATGGAAGCAAGCACTACACTGTGGGATGAAGTGGAAGTGCTGGGAGAGACTTCTCACTGTGATAGCTGAGGAAGAAAGTAGACTTGCTTGCTGCTGCAGTGTTTTCTGGTGGTGCCCAACACTCCAGACTGTGCCTTCATGTGATTGCCATCTGTGCCTTGCCAACTCAGTCCTGCTGCTCTGCGTGGGAAGCTGCTTGGAGCTCCGCCTGAAAAGCAGAGCTCCAGTAGAACTCTGAAAACTCTGTACAAGACTAATATTTCTCTCTCTCTCTCTCTCTCTCTCTCTCTCACACACACACACACACACACCCCTGCCAAATAGTGTGGTATTTTATTGGAGCTTCTTATGTTATATTATGTTTGCTACTTTGCTTGAAAAAGCTACTGTGCTATTTATTCTATTAAAGCCCAGTCTACTAGGATCCTTCCCCGCCTATTGAAATCTCTCCAATCTCTGTCCCACCCCACCCAGCCCCAGCTTATGTTTGGAATGAGTTTTTAAATATTGGTAAAGGGTGTGGATTGGGAAGGAGCATGCAAGGGAGTCAGTGAGGAACAGCACTCAAGGACTACCAAAGCATAAAGATCAGGAACTTTCTTTTGGAATAAGTTAGCTAATGTTCTGCTTTCCCCACATTCTAATAATATTCACACTCTGCATGCATAAACAAAGATAGAGAAATGGTGTGGAGCTAAATTGGCAATAACAACTGAAGAACACCTCTGGTGTCAGCTTTTGTCTGTCAAGAAAGACCATGCTGGGAAGGAAATGCTTTCCTTGTCAAAGCAAAAGGCATCTGAGAATTGAGTGGCTGGGATCCATAGCTCAGTGTTTAGCATGAGGAAGGGCCCTGGTCCAATCCTTGGCATCTTCAGGTAGGGCTAGGAAAAGACCCCTGCCTGAAACCTCCAAGTATTGCTGCCTGTCAGTAGTGAGCTAGATGGATTATGGTCTTACTCACTATAAGGCAGTTTCCTGTGTTGCTATGCTGATTGCTTCCGGAACTCAGACAGAGGGGGGAAATGTGTTGCCATCAGTCTTCACCGCCCGTGCTTCAGCTCTGCAAGCTGGTCATTTTGGTCCAAGGTCCTCTACAATAAACAACTCCTGTGTATTGCAGATTGGGATTGCAGGTAGCACTCACCTCTGGAAAGGTTGAAGACCACCGCTGTTCTTCAGCACATCTACACAGAGCTCCAGTTGGAGCTTAGCTGTGATCTTTCCATTAGACACAACCCTGGTAAGTCACATGACAACTATACTTCGCTTGCAAGGGGTATAGGAAGATGCCTTACAGTGTACCAGACCAGGGGCAGGCATGCCCTGTTTTACAGCTTGAGGTGAAATGGGAAGCGCCACCTTGCCTTGCCGCTGCTCCGACCACCACCTACCTGCTCCTGCCACTGCCACACGCCTTGCCACATCTGCTAATGGCAGAAAAGCAGCAGTCACAGGAGCAGGCAGGGGGTTGGTGGGAAAGGAGAGAGAGAACCGGTACAGTCCGCACAGCAGCATGTACAACATGCCAAAATGATTAGCCAGTGATATGAGACTCGGGAGCAGATCTGACCCTATTTTGGTAGTACTTAAAGATCTCAGACTCATCCCACAAAGAAGCAGAGGAACCACTTGCCCCATGGCTTCCTCCCAAGCTGCTTGGCTAATACCCATATGTTGGCAGTGTTCGGGTTTCTTTCCTGGCCCAGCAGCTAAGGAGGAAGGCGTCATCATGGGATGAAATCATTCAGAGGTATGGGCATATGTGTAGGCGTCTTCACCTATTACACTATCTGTACACATGTACAAGTGTCCGAGTGAAAGTGTGTACATTTATTGCTTTGCATAGCTCAACTATTTATGTACACAGGTACATAGACTAGTTGAATGTAACAGGAGAATAACTCTTATGCCATCCCGCCACTGCCCCCCAGCCACCACTGACTTACGAAGATGAATTCTTAAAGGAGTCTATTAATGAAATGAAATCATTCATTATTAACACCTGCCACAAACTACATACAATACGCTTTAATCTGTAAGGTCCATTTATAATCATTATATGCACAATATATATATTAACTAATATTGGAAGACTTGCAAAATGTATACATAGCAGCTTTTTGTTTTTTACTGTGGTGCTTTTCACGCCTATGGATGCATTAAACGCTTCAGATAGTTATTTTTAAAGCCATGTGTACAGTATGTATTTCATTAATTAGAATAACCATTTTATTTTCTGCAGATATGTCTGCCCTCTCTTGGACACATCAGAGGCAGAGCTAGGTGCTCCAGCACCCGGAACGGCATGCACCTGGGGGTCGGGCTCGCATCCCAGGGACTGCCACGTGCCTCCGGGGGGGGGGTTCGCCGGCTGCTGCGAGCCTCCCTGGGGGTGCACTGCCCATGGTGTCCTGGGGGGGGGCGCTGCCTGCGGCAAATGTTGGGGGCATCGCGGCAATGTCAGCCCCCCTCAGGGATGGCACCCAGGGTGGACTGCACCCCCCGCACCCCCTTTCTCCTCTAATGAGACACATCATCTCTCTCTCTCTCTCTCTCTCTCTCACACACACACACACACACACACAAACACACAGAGAGAAAGAGAGGGAGAGAGAAATAAATTCCAGTGATGTTATAGAACATATTTACTATCCTCAGATTTCCTCAGGAAGAAAGCTTAAAATTCCCATCAAATTTCCACATTAGGCAAAACTTAGTGGCAACATAATAATAATAATAATAATAATAATAATAATAATATTTTTTTTATTTATATCCCGTCCTCCCCAGCCGAAGCCGGGCTCAGGGCGGCTAACAACAATAAAATAATACAACATTCTAAAATCATTTCGTTATAAAATCAGTTCAAATCAAATTAATGGCAACCATTGGGCTAGAGTTCTGTGAGGATTACCGAAGGAGCGAGTCAGACTGTGCCTTGGCCAAAGGCCTGGTGGAACAGCTCTGTCTTGCAGGCCCTGAGGAAAGATGTCAAGTCCCGCAGGACCCTAGTCTCTTGGGACAGAGCGTTCCACCAGATCGGAGCCACAGCCGAAAAAGCCCTGGCTCTGGTTGAGGCCAGCCTAACCTCTCTGTGGCATGGGACCTCCAAGATGTTTTTGTTTGAAAAGTGTAAGTTCCTCTGTGGGACATACCAGGAGAGTCTCAAGGGCAGCCCCACATAGAGTGAGTTACAATAATCCAGTCTGGAGGTGACCGTCGCGTGGATCACAGTGGCTAGGTCAGGGTGAGAGAGGTAAGGAGCCAACTGCTTTGCTTGGTGGAGATGAAAAAATGCCGCCTTTGTTGTAGCTGCAATCTGCGCCTCCATGGAAAGGAGATGGCACTAATTGCACCTCCGCAAGAGATGGGAGTTGCCCCCCCCAATCCCATATCGTTCTGACCAAGCCAAAGGACCTCTGCCTTCGAAGGATTTAACTTCAACCGGCTCCCATGTAACCATCCAGCCACAGCTTCCAAACATCTGATCAGTGTGTCTGGGGATGAGTCAGGATGGCCATCCATCAACAGATAGAGTTGGGTGTCATCAGCATACTGATGGCAGCCCAACCCAAAACTCCGGACAAGCTGGGCGAGGGCAGGCATAAAGATGTTGAAAAGCATCAGGGAGAGTATCGCACCCTGAGGCACTCCACACACCAAGGAGTGCCGCGATGACAGTTCCCCCCCAAGCGCCACCCTCTGTCCCTGACCAGAGAGAAATGAGCACAGCCATTGAAGGACTGTGCCCTGGATCCCCACGTCGGCAAGGCGTCCAGGAGTTCGGGATCAACCATGTCTAAAGCTGCTGACAGGTCTAGGAGAATCAGCAGCCCCGACCCGCCTCGATCCAGCTGCCTGTGGAGATCATCTGTTAGGGCAACCAGAGCCGTCTCGGTCCCATGACCAGCGCAGGGCCTGCACCTCGTCTGGACATGCTCTAATCAGCCAAGACGGGCACGGGTCAAGAGGACAGGTGGTGAGCTTTCCAGCTCGGAGGAGTCTGTCCAAATCGGCTGGGGATATCCGGTCAAAGTGGTCCAATACTGGACCCAAGGACAGTCAAGCGGCCTCCAGTTCCGTTATTGTATCCAAATTGGCAGGGAGGTCATGGAGGAGCAACAGGACCTTCTCCGCAAAAAAGCTCGCAAATGCCTCACAGCTGTGGGTCGAATTGTTATTTAAATTTGGCTGTCCCTCCAGGGACGTTAAAGACCTAATTATACTAAATTATTGCGCCGGGCGAGAGCTAGCGGATGCAATGGAGGCCGAGAAGTAAGACTTCTTAGCGGCCTTCACTGCCATCTGGTAGGTTTTCATAAAAACCCTATAAGATGTTCTTGAGGCTCCATCACGGGCACCCTGCCATACTCGCTCTAGCCGTCTGAGGTCCCGCTTCATTTTCGGTAAACCAGGGAGCCCGGCTTCTGCAGGGTCGCAGAGGGCGCCAGGAGCTGGGTATTCCACCCCTCAACAAGCTCAGTCAATGAGTCGCCAGGGGGAGGAAGGTCCCGCAAGGCTTGGCGGAATCTATCAGGGTCCATCAGCCTCTGCGGGCAAGCCCAAATCGGCTCGCCACCTAAGCAGGGGGGAGGGGGGAGTCAATCCTGGCTTTCAGAGCGTATTGATCAGACCATGGCACCTTCATCAAAGGAGACATGACCACATCTATACCTACGCCAAAGATCAAATCCAGCGTGTGGCCTGCTGGATGTGTGGGGCCCGAAACAAACTGGGAGAGCCCTAGTGTCGCCATGGAAGACACCAGGTCCAGAGCCTGTGAAGAGGGAGTGGCATCAGCATGGATGTTGAAGTCCCCCAATACCAATAGGTTAGGGAACTCCAAGGCCCAGCCGTCCACCGCCTCCAGTAGGCCTGACAGGGTGGCTGCTGGTGCGCTAGATGGCCGGTACACCAGCCAGACAGCCAAGCTCACCTCAGAGCCCCACGCTAGGCCAACACATTCAATGCCGAGGATCGATGGGGATGGTAGAGCCCTGAAAGAACAATCTTCCCGGATTAATGATGCCACCTCTCCCCCCCCCCCGGCCCACAGTCCGCGACTGGTGGAGAACGGAGAAACCCGGAGACGCCATCTTTCGTAAGGTAACTGTTTCTCCTTCACGCACCCAGGTCTCTGTCACACAAGCCAGGTCAACCCCGTGCGAGGTAAAGAAATCTCGCAGGGTGGCGGTTTTGTTGCCTATACACCTGGCATTGCACAGCACCAGTGACGGAGGTGAGTAATCCTTGCTCACCCTACTCTCGTCCCTTGGGATGGGGCGCAGATTGGAAGGGGTACGAGCATATCCGTATGTTGATCCCCTTCGCCTATGACATCTGCCCCCACCGCCATACCTCCCTCGCCCCTCCACGGTAGCAATCCCAAGCCTCATACTAGCCTTCATTGACGGCAGTTGATGTTATTCTTTCCCAGCCTAATTGTTCTGCTTATAGTATCAACAACTCGATAACTCTAATTAGTCGAGTAGAACAAGCCAGCTAAACATCAGCTACCTCTCTGATTATACGAAACTGTTATATTCTTTGTCAGCCTACTATTATAATATTAGACAAACCAATTAATTAAATTAAAAAATAAACCCCAAAACATTCCACAGCTAAACAGAACTACCATATAACGTACATAAAGGAAGAAAAAACACCTAAATAACAGGAGGACAACAATCAAGCATCTAACAGTAAGCAAGCAAAAACTTAAATATTATCATGAAACAATGGACAAAGGACTAAAACAAATGGCAAAGGAAGCAGGGAGGGGGGAAAGGAAAATAAAAGGTTCTTGTAGCAGACAAAGTTCTTGTAGCATCACGAAGTTCTTGTACTATCATGTGCCAGCTCGAGTCTGCTCGAATGATCTCTGAATGATCTCTGAATCTGCCAACCTGAACAACCAGGCGACAGCGGGGGGTGGGCAGAGGAAGGCGGGGCAGGCTCAGTAAATGCCCTGTTCAATGTCAATGCCGTCCCCGATGGTCTCAGGGGGCCCTCCTCTTGCTGTTGCGCTAACACTTGTAGTGGCAGAGGAAGTGTTCCTCTTGGCATCAGGAGTCCTCTGGTTTCCCCCACTGCTGGTGTTCTCAGGGCCACAGAATCATACCTCTCCTCTGCTACAACCAGCTGCCAGCCCTGTGGCTTAAGAGTCTCTGGCGTCTTGAGGGTGGACCCCCCCCCCCCGGCTCCCTAGGTGCCTTTCAATTGAGTCTATATCTTGACCCAGGCTCCATGCCGAGTACTCGACCAGTCTGTCTCAGTCCAGGAGCACCGCTGGCATGCAAGACAGCCGGACCCACAAGTGGGAAGACAGAGCAGGCACACAGCGCAGTTGGACCCACAAGCCAGGAGGGCAGAGGCAAGCACAAACGGAACACTCCTGCAACACAGCTTCACCTCCCTTAGTTCATTTAAAATGCCGAGTCAAAGCCTGAGTCAGAGTCAGTTTGGGAAAAGTTCAGGAGATTAATTAAATTGTTTAGAGTTATGAGTCCTTGAAATAAGCTGGGCGGCGGCTGTTAAGCTGTTCGACTTCGTTAGATCTAATTTACAGCGCCAACTTCACAAGTTCTCTGATATAAAACCCCAGGTTGCCAAACTTTTGATAAGAAGAGGGTTAAAAGATTAAGAAGTTAAAAAGTTAAAAGGAGTAGGAGCCCCCAACATCTAATTGAGGAGCTCTAACAGGCGCGTCTTACCCCCAGCGCTTTGGGGAATACACAGAACCAAGAATGCGCAGAAAAGTTGATAGTCTTCTTGGAACATTTTTTTCTACTTAAAAAAATCCCTTAGATGTTTTCTCTGAGCAAGAACTGCCAGGTGTCCTTTGACTTTGTCAGCAGTGCAGCATCCACAGATGACATGTGCTCTGCTCACCAGTACCTCCTTGGCACCTGGGAAATGTCTCAGTAAACATCCCCTTAAAAAATCCACAGTTTGTGCTTCCTTCTCAGTTCCTGTTTGTACTGGCTTAGCATCTCCACTCCCTGTAAACGTTTCATGGGATGCCAGGATTCTGTTGGTCGTGTCTCTTTTTCTACTCTTTTAGATGTGGAAGCTAAATTTTGTTATGCCACACCCCATGACAGACTTTTTAATTGGCACCCAGGATACTTTATCAAAATTCCAAATGTTCCCATGAGCCCCAAAAAGTTGGCAACCCCTGACATATATTATTACACAATCTTTGCTGCCCATTTTGTCCAGGTTGTGCCCAGAGCATGTGTTCTTTTCACACCATTCTCATTACACCACTGTTTAAAAAGTTACTTTTAAATACTTTATTCCTAATAACCAGTCATTCATGATCACCAACCTCTTATTTATTCCTAATAAGGTAAAGGTAAAGGACCCCTGGACAGTTAAGTCCAGTCAAATTCGATTATGGGGTGCGTCACTCATCTCTACTTTCAGGTAAAGGGAGCCAGAGTTTGTCCACAGGCAGCTTTTCCAGGTCATGTGACCAGCAAGATGAAAGTGTTTCTGGTGCAACAGGACACCGTGACAGAAGCCAGAGTGTTGTTTACCTTCCTGACGCAGCAGTACCTATCTATCTACTCACACTGGTATGCTTTCGAACTGCTAGGTTGGCAGGAGCTGGGACAAAGCAAAGGAAGCTCACCCTGTTGCACAAATTAGAACTGCTGACCCTACGATCGGCAAGCCCAAGAGGCTCGGTGGTTTAGACCACAGTGCCACCCCTAATAATAAATCTCATGGCTGCCATGCCAATGTCAGGCTGTGGGTCTTGGGAGGCAAAAATAAAAGGAATAAACTGAAGAAAGCAACAGGCAAAAAACTCAGTAAGTACCTTATGGCAAGTACCAGGATGACCTTGAGTGATATATAGAGCAGTGTTTTTCAACCTTTTTTGGGCAAAGGCACACTTGTTTCATGAAAAAAATCATGAGGCACACCACCATTAGAAAATGTTAAAAAATTTAACTCTGTGCCTATATTGACTATATATAAAGTAATTCTCTTGAATAGGAATCAAATAAACACAAAGAAAGTATTTTATAATTACTTTATTATGAAATAGTAAGTAAACAGAAATATGAAAAATTATAAAATACTTTATTCAGTGCGCAACCTGGAATAGGCATGGCACAAGTGATGGTACAGGCATGGCACAGGTGATGGAATAGGCATGGCACAGATGGAATAGGCATGAGGAGGAGGAGGACTGAGAGGAGGACTCACTTACCGGGCTGCTGCTGCTGCACAGGGCTGGACTCACTCGTCTCTCTTCCGAGACCCGACCGTGACCGACTGGTTCCAGACGGCCTTCTCACCTCACGCTGCACCTGCGGCCTGGTCTGGATCCGGATGCGGTCTCTCTGCAGTGCCGACTCCCACCGAGTCCTGGTCTCCGTCCATCTCCTCCTGCTCCGGTCCTCCTGGTGACTCGAGTCGCGACGTCTTCTTAGTGAGATATACTTAGTGAGATCATTTCCCCTTACCTGGGGAGGAAATGGGTAATCAAGCCTATTGTTCAACTTCCAGTCTGCCTGAGAAGCTCCCTGTGTTTGAGTTCAACCGCATGGCTCTCACAGCCATTTTTGAGTTCTTTTACCAATAATTTCACCACTTTGTAACTAAGCCAAGTTTTGCTGTGTGTGCAACTTTGCTGAATCCTGTATGCAAAACCACACGACACTGACCTTTGTAGAGATTGTAAGTAAACACTTTTAAGCTAACCAAATGTGTGGGGACACTTTTGAACTCACTTGAAAGGACATATTTTAAAGGTCCAACAGCCTATATTTTCTTGCTTTGCTGCACATTTTGTGATTTAAAATCTCAGCTGGAATTCTTTCACCAAAGAGAGAATTCTTTTCAGTAACCTGTCGAGGGCACAGGGAGGAAATAAGGTTGACCAGCACATTTTCTCACTTGAACATTACCAGACAATTCTAGGAGATGCTAGAGCAGGATTAGTTTTATAACAGAAGGGATGACGAGATGAGATGAAAATTGTACACTCAAAGGTGACTTACTGACATTTTACTTATTTATTATTTGATTCCATTTAAGAACCACTTCTCATGAATTATCTCAAAACAAATTTCAGAATAAAAACATAGGGACAAGAAACAATGGCATAATTTCACATATAAAAACAACAAAAAACAAAGCACCTATACGTAAAAGCAATCAAAAGCAATTTCATATGTTGAAAAAAAATTCAAACCCATGCAGATACAAAGCAGGATAAAGATTGTCCACTTAAAAGGCTTGTTGAAGAAGGAACGTTTTCAACGGGTACTGAAGAGGCAGCATCAGGAGGGAGTTCCAAATAGTAGAAGCCACCGTGATAGGCCTGATTCATGTATTGTATTTGTTAAGGAAAATTCTGGGGTGAAAAACTGCTCAACAGCCCAGCTCATGGGGCAGAGGCTGCAGGTCTATATGGTCAGAAAGGAAGGAAGTTCCAACCAAATATAGGAGCAAACAGCAGTCAGTAGACCAAGATCTTTATTGTTGCGCAACAGGTCCCCCCAAGAGTAAGAACCCTGAGCAGGGGGTGACATCCTCTTTTAAAACTTCCCTCTTTCCCCCAGAATACACTTTGAGCAGCATCATTGATACATCATCACTACATCACTAGCATGTTAAAAATGGGGAGGGGTATACTAGGGTTACAAAGTTCAACATTAGACTTTATCAGACACCTTTCCCAACACCTCTTAAGTACCCATCACTGAAAGAACAAGAAAACTCTTTACATCTCCTTGCCCTCAGGACTTGTCTGGAGATGGGCTTTCAGAACACTTGCCTCTGTGGATGTCTATCGTTGCCCCCCCCCCCGTCACTCCCTGGGTGGGGTGCTATGTATGTGCTCTCAGGTTTGGTGAATTATGGCAGGATGCCCTGTTCCCGCTGCCTACATGACTTCCTGCTTCTTGATTCATGGAGAGAGGTGGAGCCCAAATTCACCTTTCTTTCGGGGTTAAAATGGTGTTGGAATGAGGAGAGTCGGTTAAAGTATGGATTTTCTACGAATTTATAAAGCTAGGTATCTTCCCTGAGCTGTCGAAAGGATACATTCAAGCATAATATCTGTAACATTGTAACAACTATAAAGATGTGCCCCCCCAGTCATTTCCATAACATATTGAATGAACTCCAATGAAGAACATTTGCAACTAATAATAATAATAATAATAATAATAATGTCCCTATTTTCATCAGAGAAATGTAAGCGTTAGTGTTATGAGATAGTAAACCAGCTTCTGGACATACACATTGTCCCACAGTGAGATTGATTTGTATTTTTCTACAGCAGAAAGGGTGAAAGCTAACCATGAGCATGTGCGCACCAAGTAAGTTCCCAAATCTTGTAGTCCAAGATAGCTAGTGGAAGTGTTCCAGGTGACGGTGCTTTAAGCATTCAAAGTTTCCTGCTATGCAAGGCATAGTGTGTTTCTTGGTGTGTGTTTCTTTGTGGCTGATTAGCTGCTCTCCCTGTGCAGTTTGATCCATCTTTTAGATTTAGGGGAGCTAGTCTCAAACGTTTGTTGGGGGAGACCTAGGTTTTTTGTGTGGGGAGAGTTATTTGTCCTGTCTTCACGCTTTTTATGATGGAGGACCGCTGTAGCCACCCCCAACGACACGATCTCAAGATGGAGGGGGAGGGAACAGCTGCAGTCGCCTGCGGTTCCTGCGCAATGTTTGCCATCTTGTCAAAGGTTGCAGGCAGCTTTACCTGCAGCAATTGCATGTTGATTGCCCTCTTAAAGACAAAGTCCAGCAACTGGAGGAATGTGTAGCTACGCTCCAAAGAATTAGAGAGCTGGAGCTCTTCTTGGAAGCAACAGAGCACACCGTATCCACCAAGGAGGAGACAGGGGACTCCCCTGAGAAGGAGGCTAGTTCACCAACACAGGAGCCAGATATATGGAGAAACGTGACTCAAAGAAGTAGGAGGCCCAGGGTTCGCTCTGATTGTTTAGAAATACACAATCGCTTTGAGGTCCTCTCCCCTAGCATGGAAGACGAAGACCAGACTCCATTTGAGGATCTCTCCCTCATTACAGTCGATCAGGTATATGAAGACGAGCAGCAAAGTCAGTCCTCAGGGAATGTGCAGGCGACCTTGGAACGGACAGCTCACGGAAGAACCCCGGCCAAACCTAAGAGGAGGCATGTAGTGGTGATAGGGGATTCCCTACTGAGGGGAACAGAAGCAGTGATCTGTGGGCCTGACAAGATGTCTCGGGAAGTGTGCTATCTCCCCGGGGCTAAGATCCAAGATGTAACTGAACGACTGCAAGGAATCATAAAACCCACTGACAAATACCCCTTCCTCTTGGTTCATGTGGGAACCAATGACACTGCAAGCAATAGCCTCCAGAAGATCAAAAGAGACTACGAGGCTCTGGGCAGGAAATTGAAGCAATTAAATGCACAAATTGTCATCTCATCTGTCCTCCCAGTTGAACGACGTGGCCCAGGGAGAGAGGGAAAAATAGTGGAAGTGAACAGCTGGCTTCGCAAATGGTGTAAACAGGAACGGTTTGGATTCTTAGATCACGGACTGCAGTTTCTTGAAGATGGACTTCTAGGCAAGCGATGGGCTGCACCTCACAACGGTTGGGAGAAATGTTTTTGCCAAAAATCTCAGAAACCTCATCAGGAGGGCTTTAAACTGACTAATGTGGGGGAGGGAGACAGTGCTCCTGAAGGTAGGAGTCTATCAATTGATGAAGATGATCATCCAAATGTCATAGACCAAATGGAGCATACAGCACGCAGACCTAGTGGTGGGAGGAAAAAATCCTTAAATAAGACACACGGGGGAATGATTAATGGACTTCAATGTCTGTACACTAATGCGCAAAGCATGGGAAATAAACAAGATGAGCTTGAGCTCTTGGTACAGCAAACTAAATATGACATAATAGGCATCACGGAAACCTGGTGGGATAAGTCCCACGATTGGAATGTAATAATGGAGGGATACAATCTATTTCAGAGAAACAGACAAGACAAGAAAGGAGGAGGAGTGGCGTTATATGTCAGGGATGTGTATACCTGTGAAGAGATCCAAGATTTAGAGCCTCAAAGCCAAAGTGAGAGCATTTGGGTCAAAATTAAGGGAGAGAAGAATAACAGTGACCTCATTGTGGGAGTTTACTATAGATCCCCAAGCCAAACGGAGGACATAGATGATGCCTTCCTGGAACAGATGGCCAAGCATGCAAAAGGAAGGGAGATAGTAGTAATGGGGGACTTCAGTTACCCGGATATTTGTTGGATGTCAAACTCAGCCAAGAGCATAAGGTCAAACAGATTCCTGACTGGCCTTGCAGACAACTTCATTGTCCAGAAAGTGGGAGAAGCAACAAGAGGAACAGCCATTTTAGATCTGGTCCTAACCAATGTGGATGACCTCGTTAGTGGGGTAGAAGTGTTGTTTGATAGTATTCCGAGGCAATTACTATGGGATAAACTTGCCTGCTGGGGAATAGATAGAAGGCTCCTGTGGCTTATCTCCCAACTTCATGCCGGGTCCGTGGCCAGGGTAAGAATATCCCCTGCTGGAGACCTAACTAACCCAGTGCCAGTAAATAAGGGTGTACGCCAGGGTTGTATTTTAGCGCCTCTTCTTTTTAACTTATTTATCAGTGATATGAGGAACCCATTAATCGACTCACAAAAATTTATCCACACCCCCCGTATAGCAGATTATCGCTGTCCTTTACTTCTCTACGCAGATGATGCGGTACTACTCTCTTACTCCAGAGTGGGTTTAAGGAGGGCACTAAAGATTTTTGCATCATATTGCCATTCTAATCATCTGTCTATCAACCACACCAAAGTACTGATATTTTCAAGGAGTCGAAAATTATATTCATGGAAATTGGAGGGCACGAAAATTGAACAAGTACATAAATTTAAATATTTAGGAATTTATTTTCAATATAATCTAGGGTGGAAAGAGCACGTTGAATATCTTCAAAACAAGACAAAAGCCCTATCACACTCCCTCCTCCGTTTTTTCTACTCTGAGGGGCCTTATTCATTCCTGCGGCCTTGAAAGTGTATAGCATCAAAGTGATGGCCACAATGGCCTATGCCGCACCTTTATGGGCTGCCTTTGCAAACCTTTCACCTTTAGAGTCGCTTCAAAGCCAATTCTTACGCCGACTTTTAAAACTACCAACATGCGTAAGTAATGCGGCTATTCGCTTAGAAATGAAGATCCCCTCAGTGGAGTTAGTTTTATGGAGGAGAGTTTTGATTTATTGGATATCCCTATGGCATAAACTACCGAACCACTATCTCATTCAATGCATGTGGCGGGATGACTTTACAAATTTGTGGTCAGGAAAAATCCATGCCAAATTGCTGTCCTATGAGATCTCGCCCACGGA